CAATTTTAAGGCTTGACATGTTTAGTGTCTTTTTACCCGACGTGACCCCATCTTTTATATTTTACCAAAAAATTGGGTAATAATAAATGTTTTATCATTTAATATAGGGGAAACTGTTTTTTTTTTTTAAATTTCGGTAATTTTTCCTTAATATAGTAAAAAAATAAAACCCCCAGTGGTGAATAAATACCACCAAAAGAAAGCTCTATCTGTCCCCAAAAAAGGGTATAAAATTCATTTCAGTACAGCGCTGCATGACGGAATAAATGTCAGTCAAAGTACCGCAGCGCTGAATACTGAAAAATGGCCTGGATGGGAAGGGGGTTTAACACCGCGGATGTCAACTGGTTAATTATCTACAAACAATCAGCGATCACTGATCACCGACTGCTTGTACCTCCATCCTGACAGCTGTCACTGGAGGCTGAGCGAGCGGGGAGGAGAGCTCAGCCTCCTGTGACAGCGCTGGCTGTCTCCGCCCCCACTGCTCTCCTCTGATCTGTGACGGGAGTGATAAGCTGCAATGTACACTGCCTGGCCAAAAAAAAAATAGGTCCCTACCTGGATTTTGGGCAGTGTTATGATCTGGGATCGCTTCAGTGGGTCAGGTCTAGGTTCAGCAACGTTCTTTCCCCAGAAATTAAGATCAGATTGCTACCTGAATATACTACCGTGTTTCCCCGAAAATAAGACACTGTCTTGTATTTGGCTCAACAATCCACACAATCCACACTTATTCATGTAGAAAAGTCTACATATATTCATGTGCAAAAATATGGTGATCAGGGGTGCCGTACCTTTCCAAGAGCAATTTGCTAACCAATCGCTGGCCAGAATGAGCGAAGCGCAATTTCACTATCGATTCCTCACAGGCGGAGAGCATTTGGTATCACTCCGCCTGTGACAGGAGCCGGCGCTATATAGGAGGCATCGGCTTATGCGGCTCTGCTCCCTCTGCTGCCGCCTCGCTTCCTCTATCGTTGGCACCGCTGATTCTCTCCTGCTTCTCCCGCGACTCTTCCAAGTTCCGCCTTATGCCACCACCGGCCCTGTGAATGGTCACAACTAGGTCTTATTTTCGGGGTAGGTCTTATATTTTAGCAATTCCCAAAAATAGTACTAGGTCTTATTTTCGGGGAAACAGGGTAAATGATCAGATTCTCCATGAGTTTTTTTTCTTCCCTGATAGCACATTGGGCATATTCCAAGATGGCAATAACAGGATTCATCGGGCACAGATATGGATAGAGTGGTTCAGGGAGCATGAGACATCATTGTCACACATGGATCGGCCACCACAGAGTCCAGACCTTAACCCCATTGAGAATCTTTGGGATGTGCTGGAGAAGACTTTACACAGAGGTCCGACTCTCCCATCATCACTACAAGATCTCGGTGAAAAACTAATGCAACTCTGGATGTAAATAAATGTGACATTGTATAAGCTGATCGAAATGATGAGACGGCAAATGTGTGCCGCAATCAAAGCTAAAGGTGGTCCAACGAAATAGTAGAGTGTGTGACTTTTTTTTTTTTTTCTGTTCAGGCAATTTATGACGTTTGTTTTGGTGTTCAGGTACCTTTTTACTATCCTGCTACACCAGTTTGTGTGACAAAAAAACATTACCATACATTTGAAAAACACAATGGTAACAAGAAAGAAAACTAAACCCCCCCCAAATTTTTTTTTTAAATATTCTAAACATAAAAAGCAGATCTTTAAAAAAAAAAAGAAAATTAATGCAAATGTTGCCTGATCAATTTTATGGGTATGGAAATGTTGAGTTTCCATATCAGGGAAACTATTTTTTTTTTTTTCCCAGCCAAAAATCACTCGGCTCGTCCCTCGTAATAAATACAAATATTAAGCTGATTGGTGTTTCTCAAGGGCACGACTGCAGAACCTGGAAGTCAAATAGTTGACAGCTGGAGTCTGCCTCGTAGCTGTCTGTCATCCGAATGGGGGCAGACGTGCCGGCTTGACAATGAATATGAAATATATTTTTATATTCAGAAATTCAGTGAGGTCACACTTGGAAAAATAGAACTCCTAATTCGAGATCGGGGAATGAGTGACATGGTTCATGTCCCCTGATGAGGGGAGCTCAGTGGCTGCATGCATCCCTGGCGCTGGAGACCACAGCCGTGCCCTCCCATGGTATGATCGCTGCATCCTTCTACCATGGAAGAGTAGATAAGAGGAATTAGACTGATCAGTAAAATCTCATATAAGCTTTACCATGTTATATCTTGTGCACACCTAGTACATTCACCTAGGGATTCACCGATACCGGTTTTTCGGTATCGAATACGAGTACCAATATTTTCTTTTCAGTACTCGCCGATACCGAAACTTCATCAAGGAAGCTGGGCGCCTTGTAATGACTTGCCAGCCGGCTTTCTGATTAGTGGGAAGCCGGCTCCATGCTCCCTTGTCACCAGGTGCCTAGAAAGCATGGAGACGGCTTTCTGGCCAATAAGGAAGCTGGAGGTCAGGTAATGACCTGCCACCCTGCTTCCTGATTGGCTAGTTTCCCGCGGCCCGGCTTCCTGATTGGCCGGAACGCCGGCTCCTTGCTGCCTTGTCACCAGGTGACAAAAAAGCATGGAGCTGACTTTCTGGCCAATCGGGAAGCTGGGGGGCAAGTAATGACTTGCCGCCAGGCTTCCTTATTGGCCAGCATTATGACCAATCAGGAAGCCAGACGGTGAGTCATTACATGCAGCCCAGCTTTCTGATTGGCTGGCAAGCCAGCTCCATGCTCCCTCGTCACCAGAAAGCATGGAGCCGGCTTTCTGGCCAAAAAGGAAGCTGGAGGTCAGGTAATGACTTGCCACCCAGCTTCCAGATTGGCCAGTTTTCCGCGGCCGGCTTCCTGATTGGCCGGAAAGCCTGATCCGTGCTGCCTTGTCACCAGGTGACAAGAAAGCATGGAGCCAGGTTTCTGGCCAATCAGGAAGCTGGGGGTTGGGGTAATGACTTGCCGCCCCGGTTTCCTGATTGGCCAGCTTTCTGACCAATCAGGAACTCAGACGGTGAGTCATTACACGCTGCCCAGCTTCCTGATTGACCGGGAAGCCGGCTCCATGCTCCCTCGTCATCAGGTGACGAGAAGGCATGGAGCTGGCTTTCTGGCCAATCAGGAAGATGGGGGCGAGTCATTACCCACCCCCAGGCTTCCTGTTTGGCTGGGAAGCCAGCTCCATGTTCCCTGTAACGAGGAAGTTCCGGTATCAGGATAAGCATTGGGAGCATTTGGGCGAGTACTCGCCCAAATACTTGGTATCGGCACCCATACCAATACTAGTATCGGTATCAGTGCATTCCTACATTAAACTGTGTTCATCAACATGGGCTCAATGGAAGGACACGGCTTCTAGCTTTCATTTTCAAAGCTTAAGGGCCCGTTCACACCAGACACAGTGCGTTCCGGCCCAATTCTGGCCGGAATGCACTGGATCCTATTGCGGCCGGCTCACTTTGTTGTGGGGCGGGAGGGGGCGTGGCAGTGCATTGACCTCAATGGCACAGTAGCCACGTCCTCCAGCCGCACGGGAACGCAAGGCACATCAATGCACCGTTCTCTGCCATCAGCACCGTTCTCTGCAGCAGGTTTCTTTTTAGCCCAGGCTGACGTAATTACGTACCCTGGCGGTCATGTTAACCACTTGCAGTCCATCCCATTGCAAAAAAACAGACGGGCGGCAAACTCACATGGGCGGGTTGCCGTAAATAGACGGCTTTTTTTTTTTTCTGCTCGCACAGGCAGAATAAACCTGTCCGTTGTACACAGCCGTTACCGGCTGTTTCACATACAAGCTATCGGCGGCTCTATAGCCTGCCGATCGCTTGTATGTGCTGTCTGGCTGCGCGCCCCCCTCCTCGAGTGCTGCCGCCTCCCCCCCCCACCTTCAATCCCAGGATCCGCGACCCCATCTGCGGCCCGGAAGGGGTCCCCAGGTGATATTAGGGGTCCTAGACACCCGTAATGTCTCCATAAAGAGGACTGGTCAGTGTGCCTTTTCTTTTATATAGGGGGAATTTTTTTTTTTATCCCCTATGTGATAGCAATAACATTAAGTGTAAAAAAAATAATAAAAGTCACATATAAAAAAGTAAAAAAACCCACAAAAATCTTTTAAGTCGCTCACGTTTACGCAAGTATAAACGTAAATTTGCGTGAGATGCGCCAGCGAGCGAAAACGACAATTGCGCTACACAAGTTATATATTGCCGCGAACGTCGGAGAGCAATCATTTTAGGGCCATCAATCACTGATAACACTAAATTGGTGAGCGGTAAAAGCTTTTAAAGCGTCGCCTATGGCCAATTTTGGGTATTGTAGTTTTTTGAGGTTTTCGCGGGCGCTGCAATTTTAAGGCTTGACATGTTTGGTGTGTTTTTACCCGACGTGACCCTGTCTTTGATAAAACCTGAGTAACGTAGGCGTACAATGGGCGTAATTTAGGCGTATTGTTACACCCACCGTACGCTTAAGTTACGCCTACTGTATACACACACGTTCTTCAGCTGTTTACGCTCCAAGCTTGCCATTCGCTGGCTTGTAGCATGTGACTGTTTGAGTCAAGCGGAGCTGCCCCGTTTCTCTCGCTGCCCCGCGTACGGTATAGAATGTGGTTGCCGTTATAAAATCATATGTTCTCAAATGATCGCTTGCATATTATCATTTAATACTACAATTGCCGATGTGAGTTTCTCCCCTTTCAGCTAACAGCCTCACTATTCCCGGTACACCGCGCTGTGATTGGCTGATTCCATCATGTGGAGCCCAGCTGATGCTTATGCTTTCATTGCTTTGCCGTGGAATATCTCCGATTGGCAGAGATATTTTTTTGACATCACCATCGCACAGCACCTTGGGAGTTGTAGTTGCTTTGTAAGCCTTTGAGCCCCGCTGAAGCAGGTGCGAACTACAACCCCCAGCTCCCCCTCTGAAGAACACTGGCCGCTTCCAGTGCTTGTTCTTCTTTACGTGGGGGAGTGGACCACTTTGGCTGGACAGGGGGGTCCTGGCCTAGTTCTGTTGCCTGGGCAACCAGACGGCGCCGCCGACATCAGCTCCCTCTTTCTTCGGGTGGGATCTAGGCGAGGCCGCAGACACTGGAGCTGGGTAACCTGGGGGACATTCATATGAATTAAGGGGGGGAGGGTGATCATTGCTTGCCTGCTGCCTCCTATGGTGGCCAGATGACCCTTATTTCTAGGGACAAGGCAGCCATGGGCAACCAGGGGCTCTCCAGCTGTTAGTGGACAACAGGCTGTAGGGTCATGTACTGGATGATAGATAAAGTGGTAAGGGCTCCAGGGGCCACATCTGCCCTATTGTTACCCATGCTGACCCTTCTTTGTAGGATTAAGACAGGCATGGGTAACAAGGGGCCCTTCAGCTGTTAGGGGACCACATGTTTCAGCATGCCAAAGGCTATGGGGCCGCTTACAGAGGGAATAGTGGGGGCCCTCAGGGGCCACAGCTTTTCTATATTTACCCACGACCATGGTGACCCCTATTTCTAGAGACAAAGCAGCCATGAGCAACCAGGGGCTCACCCAGCTGATAGGGAACCACATTTTTCAGCATACCAGAGTCTAGGGGGCCACTTACAGTGTAACAGAGGGGGCCCCCAGGTGCCACAGCTGTCCTATTGTTACCAGTGGCCATGGTGACTCAGATTTCTAGGGACAATGCAGTCATGGTTATCTAAGGGCTCTCCAGCTGTCAGGGGACAACATGTTTCAGCATGCCTGAGGCTGCTGGGACATTTACAATGTGACATAGGGAATAGTGGGGGCCCTTAGGAGCCTCAGCTGTGCTATTGTTACCCATGGCCATGGTGACCCCTATTTCTAGGGACATGGCAGCCATGGGTATCCTGGGGCTCTCCAGCTTTTAGGGGACCACATGTGTTAGCATGCAAGAGGCTATGGGGCTACTTACAGTGTAACAGAGGGAATAGTGGGGGCCATGGGTATTGTGGGGCTCTACAGCTTTTAGGGGACCAGATGTTTTAGCATGCCAGACTCTATAGGGACACTTACAGTGTAACAGATGGAATAGTGCGGGCCCTCAGGGGCCACAGCTGTCCTACTGTTACAAATGGCCATGGTGACTCCTATTTCTAGGGACATGGCAGCCATGGGTGTCCTGGGGCTCTCCTGCTTTTAGGGGACCCCATGTTTTAGCATGCCAGAGGCTATGGGGCCACTTTCAGTTGGCCAGAGGGAATAGTAGGGGTCCTCAGAGGCCACAGCTGTCCTATTGTTACCCCTATTTCTAGGAACAAAGCATCCATGGGCAACCTGGGGCTCTCCAGCTGTTAGGGGACAATATATTTCAAGGGCCATTTACAGTGTGACAGAGGAAATGGTTTCCTATTGTTCCCCATGGCCGTGGTGTCCCCGACTTCTAAGGACAAGACAGCCATGGGCAACAAGAGGCTCTCCAGAGGACAACATGTTTCAGCACTTTTCTTTTTTTTATTTAAGGCCATCTCCGGGCAGGATTACCATCACAGGTTTCAAGCCGGCTCTCCTTGTTCCTCTGGAGGACCTCACTCTCATGCAGGCATCTCCTCTGGAGCCCGGGGCTGTTTTGGGAATGGGGGCGGGGCGATGCGACCGTAGCACTGGAGTCTGTGAGACCTGCAGCGCTTACAGCCAGAGCAGCCAGGAAGCACAGTGGGAGCCATATAAACCAAATGATTTGCAGGTTAAAGAAGTCTACCTGCATGAGAGTGAGATCCATCCCATAATGCTCCTGCCTCTGGAAGCGAGGCTTGTGGCTGTCAGCCTTGCATTGCATCATGGGACTTGCAGTTCCCCCAACAGCTGGAGCTCCGAGGTTGCCTACCCCATGTCTGTCTGGTTTTATTTTCTCCCCCTCACTAGGTAGATTCACTCCCAGGTGGTCCTTGTGACAGGAAGTGATAAGAGGACAGGACAGGAAGTTATAAGAAGTCCAAAATGTTACAGTTGTCACCAGAACGGCAGCTTAGGGGAAATCTTCCAATGGGGACACCCGTTCGGGTGACAACGGTCTAAAGGTGCCCATACACCTTAGGACCATCGCAAGACTTTTGTCTTGCGATGGTCGTATGCTTATTGAAAGCTTGTACGATCTGCCCACCTTGGACGGGCAGATCGTACTTGCGATCATCGAAAGTGGGGCGGGCTTCCGATGACCGCAATGCCGAACGGGCAGTGTGCGCGTGCGCACACCGGCCCGTTCCACAGCTATCGAACGAGCAGGCTAGAAACCCGCCGACAATCGTACGATTCTCGGCGGGGTTTTGAGGAAGCTGGTTCGACAAAAAACGTGCGACCGTACAGTAGAAGTGGTCGCACGGCTTCGTTCACACTGCACGATTCTCGTACGATCGCAGGATTTCCCGCGATTCTCGTACGAGAATCGAGCAGTGTATGGGCACCTTAAGAGGAGAATTCCCCTCTCTTCTGAGAGATTCCTTTTACTTCCTGTTGTGTCTGCAGGGCACGAAGGAGAAGGAAGCGTCACCAATGGAACGCAGATAGCAAAAAAGCGTTTTAAGGAGTTTTAACCCTTTCCCTACTCCATCCAAAGCAATGCAGAGGCTTTACATACACTTTAAGGCAGCATGCAGTTAATATGGCCGAGCAGATCAGGCAGCATTTGCGAGCTGTCCAAATCCCGGGCTGCAGACGTCGGTGATCACTAAAGCGCCATCTGTTCAGCATTGAGAATGAAGAATTGATCACGGGGGAATCCATCTCGGTGTGGCTGCTGTGTATCGCGGGGACACCATAGCTCATTACACCTCTCTGTTTCAGGGATCTGCCTGCAAAGAATGCAAGAACTGCTGATACAATGACGACTGTGCGCCACAGGAAGAAGATTAATGCCTCCGAGCCCGGTCCCAACAACTCCCTGGGGCAGAAAAGTTCAAGGGACGGTGCTAGAGGCATTTCGGGTAGGTGAAGCAATGTGTATCCATACTGCGGGCCCGGGAGAAGGGAATGGACCTCATGGGTTCTATGTGATGTAAACGTTGTCTGTGCACAGTGTAGCAGTATATACGTAGTTCTGACAGATACGTTTGATCAGTGGACAGTTACCGTATCTAGTTTAAAGAGGAACTCCAGGGTGTAGGAAAATTAACCCTTGCAGTGGGGCTACCCCTGCGCTGTAAGGGTTAAAGGAGAACTATGGGGTGAGTGCTTTTCACTCACCTCATAGTTCTAGCCGACCTGTGACAATGAGACTGTCACAGGTCGGCTCAGTAGATCGGGAGGTGAGCGAACACATACCGGCGTTGCTCACTTCTCGATCCTGTCACGGCTCTCTGCCATGACAGGGGAGGGGCTGGATTCCCCCCTCCCCGCTCCGATCCTCCAGCGCTGACCGGCGGGAACAGACTGGGGAGGGGGCGGGTACAGCTGGCTCTGCCTCTAGATAGCGAGAGCCAGCTGTCGACATAATTGTCGGGATCCGCTTCAGCTGCGGCGTCTCAATATACCGTGAGCTGTAACTCGCGGTATACTGAGCTTTGGGTGACGGGAGGACGCTAGTTTGTGTCCTCCCGTTACCCTAAGGAGAACTATGGGGAAAAGCCTTAACCCCATAGTTATCCTTTAAGTGCTTGCTTTTCTCTATGGGTAATAAGGAGAAATACCTGATCTTCTGTCCCGCCTGGTTGCTAGACCCGACACCTCCTTAGACCGCCGATGTCATCACGTCTAATACAGTCCATTCGCTTGTATTAGACGTGAGGACGCCCAGGGACACACCACAGCCGAAGCAAAAGGGGGAGAGAGGTGAGCGACTGCCGCAGGACCGAGGATCAGGTGCGTGTTATCTCCTTTATTATGAGCTGTAAAATCTTGCAGTGCTGGGGGTACCCCTACTGCAAGGGTTAATTTTTCTACAACCTGAAGTTCTTCTCGAGGGCCCAGTCACACCATACCCAGTGCGTTCCGGTGCGGCTTGAGCCTGGAACGCACTGGCTCGCATAGATCAAGCCGGGCCGCGTTCAAATCGCACTGCGGGCAGGGGGCGTGTCTGCGGTGCAATTGACATGAATGGCACCGACATGCCCGCTTCCGCCCCAGAACGCTGCCCGGCTTGATCTATGACCTCATTTACCCCAAAACACTTACCTTTGCCATGTGAAAAATCTCCAGCTCGTGTCCCCCTCTGTTGCACTTCCCCTAAACTTCCGGTCGTGGAGCACGCACGGCGCCATTGGTATTAGATGTTGCTTTGGGACTACATGTCCCATAATTCTTTGCACATTTGTCACAGTGCACATGTGCACCCATAGAGTGCCAGCAAGCACAAAGGTCAGGGCCTCAGCCACACTACGAATGCACGTCCTATTCACAGCACTCGGTGGGTGCAATGAGACAGATCCCTGCCACGCTGTGCACGTGCGCACTATCTATGGTGCCTGAGCGTGCACAGAAAGAGAAAGGCCAGGCATGCGCATGTCTGGGTGGCTCCAGGAAGACCTGCAAGGCAATGGAGACACCCTTAGAGGCGCAAATGGCTTACACTCCACTTCAAGCGTGAAAAAGTCTACAAAGGACGTCTGAACACAGAAAGGGGACTGGAAACTTGTAGCAACTTAAGTTATGCTAATCCAAACCTAAAAAACTCCACCACTCCAACCCACTCATCGCTTTCCAAGCCCGGGTGTGTGGGTGCTGGCTGTGAGACGTTCCCACTCCAAGCAAATGAAGCCGACATAGGGGAAAAAGCTGCACACCGCCATCTTCATTATAGCAACTTTATTCACATTCAGACGGCCTACAAATATACTGTCACCTCTGACATGTTTCACCCTCCTGGGCTTATTTGTAGACCAGCATAACTTAAGCTATGCTGCTCTATTGTTCTTTCTCCAGGGAGGGTTTAATAACACTTTAAATGTGCTCCTTGATAACTACAAAGCATAAAATTCCACTTTGTGTTCACCAAATGCTTTTGAAAACCCAGTTATTACTTTGTAAATGTAGCAGTGACATCATCACTGTGCTATACATAGCCTATGCAGAGAGCAGAGGTGTGGGAGGGACCAAGCAGGCGCCACCCACTACAGCCTGCCTGCAGGAAAGAAGAGGAGGGGGAGGATACAATACCAGTCACCCTGTACAAGAAGAGAAAGCAGCAGTGAGCGATCTTTATTACAGGAGGAGGCGGAGACAAGACCAGTCACCCTGCACAAGAAGAGAGAGCAGCAGTGACCGGTCTTTATTACAGGAAGGGGCGGAGACGAGACCAATCACCCTGCACAAGAAGAGAGAGCAGCAGTAACCGGTCTTTATTACAGGAAGGGGCGGAGACAAGACCAGTCACCCTGCACAAGAAGAGAGAGCGGCAGTGAGCGGTCTTCATACAGGAAGCTCTAAGTTTCACGCCGGATTACTGCTGCCTGGCCTGCCCTCCTTTACTATCACAGGTTTCAGGCAGGCACTCCTCAGCAGGACCTCACTCTAATCCAGGCATCTTCTCCTGGCCATTCACAAAACAAATCCTGGGGCTGAATGTTTAGTCAGAGAGCAGGAGGGGAGGGAGCAGGAGATGTGACTGCAGCGTTGGGGTCTATGAGACCTGTGGTCCTGGAAGTAGAGGGATATGTACTTCGCCGGGCATGTAAACATGAAGATTCATGGTGGAAGCGGAGCCTTCAGCTGCTGTAATAGACGTAGTGTAGTGTCCCCGGAGTTGGGCTTTAAAGCCTCTCCCCTGGGTGCATGCATTGGTATGCATATGGAGTACACACACCACTATGGCGGTACCTCTGCAGGCCTGGCCTTGGGCTAGATTCTAAGAACGTCAACACTAAGACATCGTTGTCAATTATTAACTGAGAGCAAAGCTTCTGTGGAGCTTATTCCAGACCTCCAGTAGGGATCGGTTCTCTATATGAGGACCAGACTTGTTCAAGGCAACTTTAAAATGTATATTTTGGCAGCACAGTGGGTTAGCGGTGGGCAGTAGAGTGCCTTGCAGCACTGGTGTGCTCGGTTGCAGTCCCGGCTGTGACACTATCTGTGTAGAATTTGCATGTTCTTCCTGTGCTGGGTTTCCTCCGGGTACTCTCGTTTCCCTTCCACACTCCAAAGACACGCTGGAAGGTTAATTGACTCCTAAATTGGCCCTAGTATGTATGTATGTGAGATAGGGACATTAGATTGCAAGCTCTTTCTGATTGGCCAGAAGGGCAGGGCCTGATGTGAATGTGCTGTATGTAAAGAACAACATCATTGGGGATATATAAATGCCTTGTAATAATAATTATAAGTTATATATTTTAAAGCAGTGCACACTTCCCAGTGTTCTGTCTCTTTAAAAATGCTGCAAGTGCAGAAAAATGCATCTTGATCCTGCCAGAAAACCAGCGAGTTCCCAACATCCTGTGTGAGCTGACAACACAGTGCTTCTACTGCACTGAAATCCCAAGCGGTCAGACCTACCTAGTTGCCTTCTGCCGCATTAAAGAACATCTTCCCCTTCCTCATTTCCATAACGTAAAAGGGAGGTGTTCTGTAATCCGGCAGGGAAAATCTCAGACACGGCTGCTAAGGACTTGCAGTGGCAGCTAGGTGCTCGCTGGATATCTGGCAGGATCAACAGGTATTTTTCTGTACTTGCAGAGTTTTTAAAGGGATTATAGTTGGTAGCGATGCGCCAATACCGAGTATATGGACGAGTTCTAGCACTCTCCCAAATGCTCCTGATGCTTGTCCCGAGTCATTACACGCCCCCCGGCTTCCTGATTGGCTGGGAAGACGGCTCCGTGCTCTCATGTCCCTTGGTTACGAGAGAGCGTGGAGCCAGCTTCCCGGCCAATGAGGAAGCCGGACGGCGTGTAATGATGCGCCACCCAGCTTCCTGATTGGTCGGGAAGCTGGCCAATCAAGAAGGCGGGTGACCAGTCATTACCTGACCGCCTGCTTCCTAATTGGCCAGAAAGCCAGCTCCATGCTCCCTCATCACCTGGTGACAAGAGAGCATGGAGCATTCAGGAAGCGGGCGGTGAGTCATTACAGGCCGCTTGGCTTCCTTTATGGGACTTCTGGTATCGGTATTCGGTATCGGCGAGTACCAGAAAAAAAATATTGGTACTCGATACCAAGAAACCGTTATGTGTGCATCCCTAACGGATGGGAAATGTACATATGTTGCAGAGATTGTACTGAATATGTGTTCATTTATTTTTCTGTGTAGAATATTTTAAAGTGTAACTTGTGTTGCCATCATTGACTGAAATGGGACTCTGATCGCTTCTCTTTCTTTGTTTTCAGGACGTGGCACATGGAATATACTGAGTTACTTCGTTGGCGGGGTGCTGGCTTTGTTCTTGGGACTACTTGCTTCATATTACGTCGCCACCCTCCATGAAAATGACTTGTGGTTCTCCAATATTAAGGTAATGATGACCGTTCATGTAGAAAGGGTTGCATGGCGTACCCAGCTCATGGATGCAGAAGCATAGCTAAGTCCTGTGTAGATCTGGACCTATTCAGTCCTGCTAGGAATACTTCTTCATATCAGTCTGTAGGGGGGGGGGGCGTTCCTAGGCATGCTGTATGTGTATGCAGACTGGCCTAGGTAGTGCCCACATGTGATGCTGAGCCTCCATGATGGAAAGAACTGAAGGACACTGAGTGATAGAGGTGAGTCAGGGACAGTTAGGCTGGGGGAGAAAGTGCTGGAATATGATGCTGGACGTCCTTCAGCCAGGAAATGAGACGGGCTGTATCTGACTTGCTGCAGCTTCTAAAGCACATTGTGAGCAGCTTGCAGTGTGCAGTGACATCAGAGTACGCAATTTTGGTACAGGAGAGTGATGACCTGCAGTTAGAGACAGATGGTCGCCCCCTGGATGCAAGCTGCTTGTGTCCGGCGCAGGGGTGGGGGTGGGGATCATCTGTCTAGCCACATTACATCTGAACGCAGGTGGACAGCTGTGGCCACTTGCAGCCTGTCATGCCTGTCATTGTTTTATACAAGCTGAGCAGCTGCATCTGTCCAGGACCATCTGTGATTCCTGCCGCAGGAAAACGCAGCTTGTTTGAATGATGCCTTAGGGCAGGGGTAGGCAAACTCCGGCCCTCCAGCTGTGGTGCAAGTATAAATCCCATCAGATATTGCAAGACTGTGACAGCCACAGGTATGACTCCCAGGGGTAAAAGCATGTTGGGATTTGTAGTTTTACCAAAGCTGGAAAGATGGAGTTTGTCTATCCCTGTCTTGTATGGCACATGTTGTGCTGTGATTGGAATAGCTGAGGAAACATCGCCATCTAGTGGCTGATCTGGTAACATATACTACGGCTATCTTTATATAGCAATGATCCAGTATACAATCTAACCACTCCTCGTGCAACCGTTGTAATTAAGCGGCCAGATGGCTCATGACGGTGCGTGGGCATTTAAAAATGTCCTTTTCCCCCCTCCTGATTGCACGCCGCCCCCCCCTTGCCACACGAGAGCAGGAAAGATAACATTTTAAACAGCCGGCGACGGCTGGTACGTACAAGCATTTGGGCAGCTATAGAGCCACACGATCACTTGTACAGTGCTGGAGAAGTGTGTGCCGCCCTCCACTACCTGCTAACCTACGCACTGCTGTTCCCTGTGCGGGCCCGGGACCGGCACGGCGACTTTCTGTACCTCGATCGGGGGGAATTCAGCACACTTCCAGCTGGTGATCTCCCCTCTGATCACTGAATGCGGAAGCGATGTGTATTACATCACTTCCGGTTTCAAGCTGTCATTTCCCCGGCCGGCTGCTGTAGCCGGAGAAGAAGCTGGTGAAGCAGATCTTCAAAGCACCATCCAAGCATATTGTAAGACATAAGGTTGGACACTGACCATGAGACAACTGGAAACATTGAAGGTCCCAGAGGGGTACCCAGTTATTGGGTTCCTCAGTGCCCATAGGCCTGGTAGAATCCAAAGACTACATGCAGAGCAAAGATAGACAGAAATAAAATAAGGAGGAGAAGAGAGGAAGATAAAAAAAGGGAAGGGGTAAGAAGAAAACGAGAAGAGCTAAAGAATGGAACATTGCATGGGCGCAGTGTAGCTCCCCCTGGTTGTAGCAGGGCCATACACTGTGGCAGTACAGGGTCTGCCATCTGAATTTATGGGTGCACCCACAGTCTCCAACTCCTGCCATGTAATACGGTATGTACCCAGTGTTCTCGGCCTACAGAATCTTTCACAAGAGAAGGGGCCTTCTAAGGTCAGAGAGTCCCCAAGTAGTATCAAAGTTCACAGTAGAGTATACAGTGACTATGATGCCTTGAACCAGGGACCCTGTGAGACTTCTGAAGGTTGGCATGTATTTTGTGACCTGATGTCTTCACCAGAAAACTGGATGATGTAATAAAAGTCCTGATGACTGGTGCTGGTGACTCTCTATACATGTTATAGACAAGTCTATGGGAGGCTTTAGTTAAAGCTGAACTCTGGCCTTCGCTTCGGTCTTTCACGGGTTGTACCGGCTCCTCTCCTGGACTGAAATTGCTTCCTCTGATTTCACTGCACACTGAGCTTCTCGTAATATGCATTAGAAGCTGCAGCAACTCAGAGCCCGCCTCATTTCCTGGCTGGTGGACGTCTACTATCATCTAGGTCTTTCCTTCCCAGCCTCACTGTCTCTGGCCCACTCCTTGCACCTGTTGAACTTCAGTTCTTTCCCATCATGGAGGGTCAGCATCACATGTGGGTGTTACCTGAATATAAATACAGCGGGGGGATTTATCAAAACTGGAGCAGAGAGAATCTGGACCAATCAGCATTTCTCTTCAGTTTGCTCAGGTGAAAATGAGAGAGAGAAGCTGATTGATTGCCATGCAAATCTGCTCCAGATTTTGTCTGCTCCAGTTTTGATAAATTCCCCCCAGGGTGTCTAGGAACATCCACTCCGCCAGACTGACACCCATCTTCAAGGCATTTTGACATTTGCATAATTCTTGCCAAGATCCATCCCACTGCTTCCATCAGGACTGAGGAGTAGTGATGGGCTCGGGCGTGTTCGCAGCTCCACGCGCTGTGCCTGCCAGGAAGCTGACAGCGTTGCAGCACCAATCACAGGCACTGAGACATATCCCAATCTTTGGTTGTGATATTACACATTTCTTACATTTCTATACATTTTATATTTAAATTAATAGGTGGAACACACAAAACCAAGCGCAGCACACCGGCCCACACTTGATCACGTTGATAGACATTGCTGCAGCTGGTTAATTCTTCAACAATATATCCTAGCGCAACTACCCTGGTTATAATATCCCAATCTCTGCAGCAGCGGACCGGGAAATGTCTCAGGACCTGTGATTGGCGCTGCGACCCTGTCAGCTTCCTGGCGGGCTCGGCACGTGGAGCTGCGAACACGCCCGAGCCCATCACTACTGAGGAGTACTGGGGCAGGGAGCTGTGATGTTTTCAGGAAGTTATGTACAGCACCTCACCAGCCATGATCTGCCTGCATTGCATATAGAATCATAGACGCCTAGGGAGGATTTCACTGGGTCTAATACAAGGTATGTAAAAAAAAAATGAAAAGGTTTTATTTACAAAATATCATTAGCACGTTGCTGAGGAGGGGAGGATGGAGGAACCAGGAGGCCAAAATATAAGCAGATTCAACTTGGCTGTATAGTCCGTATGCAGTTTAGGGCTAATCATCTGTTTTTCGTCTCATTGTACAGGATGTGGAGAGAGAAATCTCATTCAGGACGGAGTGCGGACTGTATTATTCCTATTATAAACAAGTACTTCTCGCCCCATCCATTGCTCAAGGTACTATTTGTGCATATTTGACTTATGCGTACATCTTTATTGGAATGTGCACACCGGGGTCTTTTACTGCAGCCTTTTATCTGTCTTTAATCCCAAAAAAGTTACAGAGAGTAGTACAATGTTTCTCTTCATTTAGTAGCCCGAATATATTCTACACAATCCCACCGGCT